TTGAGGTGAGTCTTGAAAGAAGCTGGGACTACTGAGTTGGAGGTAAAGGAGGAATGCATTCTAGGTTTGCAGGACAGCTTGTACAAAGACAGGAGATGGAATTTCTCATTCCAGGAAACAATAAATGGGCAAGTTTGGTTGGGACCTAACAGTCTGGAAAACAAAAACCATTACCACCTTCTCTGTTCTTCCTTTGGGAAAGTTTAGAGTCCACAAAAGGAAGATTCCCCCTCCTCAAGCATTTATGTCACCACCTCCCCACTGTTTTCTGGAAGTTGTGGATTTACATAAGTCTTCATCTCTCTCAGGAGAATAGTCAGACATTGCTCCAATACTAGTATCTCTAGGATTTGTTCCTTTGTGGAGTTCTCTGGCTTCAGTCACTGATGACATAGAGTTGACTCACAGCCTCATGGGGGCCCTGACATTTCTGGGTATTGAAACAATTTGAAGCAGAAATCATCCAAGTCAAATGTCTTTCCTCCAAGGGTGTTCTCCTGATCCCTAGGCAATCCAATTTTTTTTTCTTTAAACTTTTTTAAGTTTAATTTTTTAATTAATGAAAATCTTCCTTTTCTTCCTAACTCCAGCCCGCTGAAAAATAAAACACAACTCGTTACAAATCTGCAAAACAATTCTTTCATCGGTCATCTCCCAAAAATACGTTTTAGTCTGCATCCTAAGTCCATCATCACATCTACTTTTAAGAACTTGTCTTGTTCACGTGGAATGAGAATTGGGATACTCAATGAAATTTGTTTCATCTCTGCAGGTCTCTTTACTCTGGGAATTAAATCTGCATCCTCAGTAGGAAGTCAGTTCTTTCAGTCTCAGGTTAAGGCACTGCACCCCACATTGTGGTAAAGGACACTACAGTCAGAATATTTGGTTTTTAAGTTCCAGCCCTGCCACTTATGGGCTTATGAGTTCTTGAATGCGTCAATTTTACTCTCTAGTCTTGTTTCAAGGATTGCAATCATAGGCCCTCATACTTCCCATAGGTGCAGACACAGGAACTCTAGAATAAGGGATGCTCCTAAAGGTGGTACTACTGGGTTTAAGACGAATGAGACTCTTAGATCTACTTAAGAAGAGATTCAAAGTTTAGAGATTCTAAATCAGGTTGGTCTCCTTTGGAAAGATTAGAGTCTTTGAAATGGGGCTGATGTAGAGCAGAGTTGGAATTCATACAACCCATTATAATTCTAATCAACATTATTAAGTTTGGGTCGGAATTTCATCAGCCTTTAGAGGTCCAGGATGAGCTAAAGCTTAATTAAGTAAATATTTACCATTCTAGGAAATATTGTAAACATCGAGGTGGACTTGGAGAGTCAGCACAGTCTAAGGTTCAAATCTTGGCTCTGGAATATGTATGTATGACTTTGGGCAAGCCATTTAACCTGAATTTGTTTTCTCATATGTAAAGTGGGGATACTATTTACACTACCTTGTAAGGGTGAAGAGAGGAATGCCCTTTGCAAACCTTAAAGCACTTCATAAATATTATTACACGGACTTTATATTATATCCATTGACATAATCATGATGTGCTGGGAACCTAGCTTTGGGTTAATTGTATGCATCAGCTGCTTTCTTGACTTGAAAGCTTCTCCTTGAAAAGAGATACAGGTGATGGAATACTACTGTGCTATAAGAAATGATGAGCAGGATGATTTCAGAAAAACCTGGGAAGCTAAGAACTCATGCAAAGTGAAGTAAGCAGAACCAGACGATTGGACACAGTAACAGCAATATTATGAGAATAATCAGGGGCAGCTAGGTGGCACCGTGGATAGAGCACTGGCCCTGAAGTCAGGAGGACCTGAGTTCAAATCCAGCCTCAGACCAAACACTTGACACTACTAGCTGTGTGACCTTGGGCAAAGTCACTTAACCCCGATTGCCTCACTTAAAAAAAAAAAAAGAATGATCAACTGTGAAAGATCTAGTTTACACTGATCAAGATAATGATCAGACACAATTCCAAAGGACCCATGATGAAAAGTGCTATCCACCAGGGAGAGAACTGATGAACTCTGAATACAGATTGAGGCATAATTCTTTTTACTATCTTTATTTGTATTGTTTTCTTTTGTGTTTTTTTTTTTGGCAACATGGCTAATATGGAAATGTTTTGTATAGCCTCACAGGTAATCAAAATCAAATTGCTTGCCTTCTCAGGGAGGGGGAAAGATTAGGAAGGAAGGAGAGAATTTGGAACTTAAAATTTTAAAAAATGATTGTTAAATTTTTTTACATGTAATTGGAAGATATCTAATGAAATAAATAAAAATAAATTAAAAAAAAGATACAGGTTCTAGTTCCTGTTATGCCATAATAATTTATATTTATATAACAGCTTTCAAAATGTTTTTCTTAATAGCCCTATAAAATAAGTAGTGCAAATGTTACTATCTTCATTTTATAGAAGCAGAAGCTGAAATCCAGTGACTTGCCCATGGTCATATGTATAGTAAATGCCAGAGAAACAACTGGAACCTGGATCTCTGATTTGCAAGGATGATGTTCCCCACGTGATCTTAAACAAATGATGAGGTATATATATCGTGGGGGGAAAAGGCTGGATTTGCAATCAGGGGACCAGGGATTTTTCTGGCCTTAAATATGTATTATGTGAATTTGGGCAAATCTCAGGGCCTCAGTTTCCCCATGTGTATAATGAGGAAGTTGGATAAATTGATATCTAAGATGCCATCTAGTTGTAAAATTGTTTTAGTTGTAACCCTTAAACACACACACACACACACTCCCCAGGGACCAGAGATTTAATGAATTTTTCTGTAAACCCCTCTAAAATCAGCTCTAGACCAGTGAAATAATCTGTTAATCCAGAATATAATGCCCCCCACTCCATGTTTTGGACACGTAGAGCGGATGAATTAATTCGAGGGCATTTTCAACAGTAAACATTCACTTTGGTAAATTAGCTGTTGGGGATAATTTATGAGTAGTTCTTTCTGGATAAAAGCTTAAAGCCATTTATTAGATAATACCGTATATAGGACTTTTTATTCAGACTACTTAATAAATAATTTCCTGTCATATGCAGGGTCTGGGTTAGACAAGTGATTTCAGGGGCCCAGAAATTAGCTACTAGCATAGAAATGATGCAGCTTCGTTGAAGGCAGGGGATAAAATGTGCACCATATCTCCTTTTTCTGTTCCTCTTCAGTAGTGAAACAAGATCATCTTTGAGTCTGTTAACATATCAAAAGCAAGAGCCAAACAATGCAAAAAAGCTATACTACTCCACTGTTACAGTTGAGGCTTTTTCGGTTTTTCCAGATGCAAGGAAACTGAATGTTTAAGTATCTCCCTTAATAATAAATGCAGATGCTTTACGCAACTGAATGATTATGGCTAGACATAATCCAACAGCTGCAGCGCAGAAAGAAGCTGTTGGTGGTGCATCAAATCCTTTTTCAAATGAGGGCACTATGTAATAACAAAAGCAATTTTTGGAGCCGCCTTCCCTCACCCTAGCTTAAGTTTTGTCTGGCTGTTGGTCTGAATCAGAGGCCCGGAGGCGACTCAAATGAACTGCTCTGGGGGCAGACAAGCAGCGAAGCGGGCCCAGCGCGGGAAGGGAAGCGGGCAGCCTGGGTGTGCAATTCCCGGCAGGCGGGAGTGCTCCATCTGAGAGGGATACCTGCCGGCTCGAAATCCCGGCTGGAAGGAAGCCTCCACTGCCCCTTCACACCTTGCAGACGCCACCCCCACCACTCGGGGCTGGAGGGCCGGAGGGACCGGGCGGGCGAGACTCGGGGCCTGCGGCTCGCGGCCCGGGAGACAGACCCGGGGAAAAATGCAAGCACTTGGCTCGGCTCCCGGAGGAGACCGTCGGGCGCCTCCGGGCCCTTTCGCGACTTCGGCCTTAGGATGCACGCTGCAGCCGGGGGCCCGGAGGAGCCCTCGGAAGGAAACTAGGTTTATGCAAAAAAAAAAAAAAAGTTACCACTTCGCGGCTCCCCGGGGGGCCCCCCGGGGCCCGGTGGGGGCGCGGGCGGGGGGGAGGCGGGGAGGCGGCCCGGACACGCTTCACTGCTCCACCTCGGTGCACTTCTGCCTCGAACCTGGCGCGGGCGGCCCCTCCCCCACCCCGCGCTCGGCTCCCCCTCCCTCCCCAGCTCCTTTCATTCCTTTCCCCTCCCCAGAGGCCGAGGCGAGCCATTGGGCCGTCTCACCGCCCCCGCAAGCTGACTGGCTCGCGCCGGCCTCCCGCCGCCCCGCCGGGCCTGGCAGTTGGGGTGAGAGCCGGCTGGAGGCTGCTTCCCGCCGCGGCCCCGCCCCCTTCCCCTCCCCCTCCGCCGCGCGCAGAGCCTTCCCCCCAGGCCTGGTCGGGGGCGCTGTTGCCGCCCGCTCCGCGCCAGCCTCAGCCGGAGAGGCCGCGCTCCCTCCTGCTTTGGCCCCAGCCCGGTCCCTCCCCCCTCCTCCGCCTCCTTCCCCTCCCCTCGGGTCGGTGTCTAGTGAATGTGGCGCGGCTGGCCGCGGCCCCGGCGTTACCCTCGGCGGCGTCGCCCGTGTCTCTCCCTCTTTCTCTCCCTTCCAGCTGCCCGCGGTCGGTCGCGGAGCCTCCTCCGCCGCTTCAGCGGTCCGGGGCTGCGGAAGTGGGGCACGGGCGGGAAACCGCGAGCCTTCGGCGAGGGCAGGGGGTGGGGAGGAGGAGGGGACGGAGACCCGGGCCGGGCGGACTGACGGCCGGGGGCGGCGGCCGGCCCGCGTGCCTGCCCCCTCCCTCTTTCTCCCCGGACTCCGGACCCCGGCGGCGGCTTCTCGGGCGAAGGGCGCGGCAGGCGCGGTCGAGACAATAACCCGGGCGGCGGCGGCGGCGGCGGCGGCTTCTGCGGGAGCTGGCCTAGCGAGGGCCGCGGCGGCGGCGGCGGCGGCGGAGGAAGGGGCGCGGTGCAGCCGCGCTCGCCGGACCCGGAGGGCCCGAGGGGGCGCGTCGTCGGCGCCCGCCCGCCCGGTGGCACCGCGAGCGCACTCGGCAGCTTTGCACGATTGGGTTCGGATCGTCCGTCTCTGGAGCCGGAGCTCGGACGGTCCTCGGCGGCGGCGGAGGCGGGAGAGACAGACAGACAGACACCCCCCACCCCCGCCCGCCTCCTGCTCCCCGGCTTAGGTCGAGCTGGTTTTCCGGGTTCCCCTGCGCGGACCTGGATTCAGCTTCTTTGCCTGGGCAGGAAGTGAGTTTCATGCAGTAATTCCGGGCGGTGTCACGAGAGAAAACTTTTTTTTTTTTTTGCCTTCCCCTTTTCCTCGGGGGATCCTGGTTGGGGCGGCTGGGAAACTCGTGTCAAAACTTGAGACCAGGAAACCGGCCTGCGACGCCCCCCTTCTACCCCAAAAGCCGAAGCCAGCCTCCGCTTCCTCTGGCGAGTGGCCGCCCCGCATCCCCATTCACATCCGCCCTCCCCGAGAGAAGAGACCCCGCGGGGGCTGGAGGGGGAGCAGCGTCTTGGGGAGAGGGGCCCCCCATCATGCTCTCGCAGGGAGCCTGAAGAAGAGGCCAAGAACTCCGGAGAGGTAATTGGGGGGCGACGTGGGGAGGGGAGCAGGGGCTGGAGCAGGAGCTGGAGGAGCATTTTTCTCTCATCGGCTCCTTTGGAAGCCCAACTGCCCTGGATCTGTGAAATATCGGGGCTGCCTCTTGTCCACCTTGTGGTCTGGCATTATTAGGGGAGAGGTTGGAGGAATCCGGGGAAGCGCGGAACGCACAGTTGCCTTTTTTTTTTTTTTTAATATAAAGCTCTTGAAGACATAGGGTTCCTTTGTTCTGCCCAAGGTCCCGAAGTAGGTAACTTGGCCGCTCCTAAAATGCGTTCTCCGAAGGTATTTGTTTTAAGTGGACCGAATCTAGCAACTTTGGATTTGCCAATTAGTCAGGAAGACGTCGCTCCTTGGTTCGCCGAAGAGATCGTCTGCCACGTTTGTTTACACTGTTAACTATTCGAGGGCGTTCAAGTTAAGTTCTCGGGGAGCTGAGGGCTCCTGACAGTCGCCCGGCGTGCGGCTGCTGACTTTTCAAACACAGTGGCAACAACTACAAAAACTCTTTGTTTATTTTTGGGGTACGGATGAGGTTTAAGGAGATTTTAGTAAAATTTAGCCTATGTTTTCTTGCCCACAGAAGAGGGCATTTATTTTGGCCCTTTAAAGAACCATATAATAAAGAATTATTTCACGAATTTATTAAAAAACAGTTACCTTAATCGGATTTTTCCTGTTAGTGCCCAGTTTAGAAAGGAATGGAAATAAGGGATATGATTCCTTGTTCTTTCGAGTAAAGAGAGAGGTGTAAGTTTTGAAAAACACCTGCAACTAGGTTGATAAACCTTTGATACTATTTATCTGCATGACAGTCACAGTACGCATTTACCCACAACTTTTCTGGTATTTATTAAGCTTGACTTTTTGAGAATTGTACCATTTTGGCATAAATACTTTATATTATAAAATGGATTTCTATCTAGTAAGGGTTATCAAATTTAATTTGCAGGCTGGACTAATAAAAAGCGTGGCAAAAATTATTGTAGACTGTGATTTAAAGTCACCGAATCTGAGTTGGAAGGGATGTCAGAGGATACCTAGTTCAGTCTAAGTGTCCAAACAATTAGTAGACTTCACAGATTCTATCAGTTGGTTCTTGGGTTGCAACAGATCCGAATTTGTTAGTGTGAAAGGACAGTTAAACTTGTGTCAGTAGTACTTAGGGAGCTAAGGAGCAAAGAGATTGTCTTTTTGAGTACAAGGAAAATTCTGCAGGTAATTTCCCTTTCAAATATCAGTTGATACTTAGTTTACTTATGAAATCTCAAATAATTTGTGGCAGTTGAGGAAAAAGATGGGAGCTTCCTTAGGGAAAGAAGAAAGTCCAAGTTTAAAATATCTTGATCAAATTTGTATTATTACTTCTTCCTAATAACTTTGACCTGTATTAAATGCTGAAAGATGAATGTTAAAATTTTACTGCTACATGTTAAGTAAGGTTGACCTTTATCAGTCTTTTCTCTGCAGATAGTTACTTTCTTGCTAATTAGTTCGGCAAGTAAGTACTAAATCAAACTAGCTTGCTCAAAGAATATAAAATGCATAACTGATCTTCTTTATGATTTTTGAATATATTATTAGCTAGCCAAAGAGGTTATTCCTGGATATCTGAAAAAGCCGAACAAAATAAATGACATTGAACTTGAGATTCCTTATATGGCACATCCTTGGCACAAAAGCAACGAAGTCTAAATAGAGCAGCAGTCCTCTTACAAAGAAAGAGTACTTTGCAAAGTTTTGTTTCTCTGCCCTAGTGACTTACAGAAGAAAATCATTATATTAAGCAGTAAGTCTGTGAACCAGTTTTTGTTTTTTTTTTAATGTAATTTTTGTTTATCTCCTTTTGGGGGAGCCACAAATAAAGAGTCAAGGTTTTGAGTCAAGAACTTTTCAAACAGGGTGTTATTCCTGTTATTTGAATAAATGTTCCTTACCTCCTTCCCTCTCCTCTCCCCTTTTCTGTTAGGAAACTCTCTGTACCATTGCAGAACCTCCATTATTTTGCAGTTTATAATCTGCAGAATTTCCCAGGCCACTAATGATTTGTTTCAAGTTGCTTAGCCAGGTGTGTGTCCAAGGGTTGGCTTGAATTACAGGTATTATCTAGAGACCAGCTATCTAGTCATGTTGCCTATTTCCTTTTTTTCTTTAATAAAAGCATAGTTCACTTAGCAACTATAGATCTTAGATCTCCACAGGTCCATTAAGCTTGTTGGATACTAGCTTGATGAATTTATGAAACTATTTTCTTCTTCTGACAGCCTAGGAATAGAAAGTAGACACAATCTCAATTCACTTAACTTTCCTAGGCTTGTTTCCTCACTTGTAAAATGAAGGAGTCTGACAGGGTGATTTCTAAGTCCCCTTCCATCTTTACATTCTAGCATTTTGTGATTCTTGCTTTTTTTGTATGAGCATATTTATAAAAATTACATTTCTCCTAAATGTTGTTATCAGTTGTATGCAGTGGCTCAAATGTTTTAAAATGGTCTCAAAGCTTAGTGCGAATGTATATAAATGCTTAGAATTCTTTTGGAGTGTTTGATCAGTGACAGACATCCCTGAAAATTTTGCTTAAGATGCACAAAATACAGTCAGTGATTTTTATTTGGTTTATTGAAAATATAAAATATAAATGTTGATTTACGTCCACATGCTAGTTAATGTGATTTGAGTGTTAAGTAATAAAGAAGAGTTTGCAGTTTTAGATGATGTCATCCTAACATTTGAGTGCATGAAAAAGCTTTTGCCAAAGTGTGGAAGCCAAATTTTGATTTTGTGGTTTTAGTTGTCTTGGGTTTAGTAATGAAGGTGGGAGCAGCATACCGTGGGGGAATGATCACTGTATTTGGAGTAGGAAGACTTGGGCTCTGCCACTTTGCAACTTGTATGATTGTTGGCAAATTTTCCAAACTCTTTGCTCCTCTATTTCCTCATCTTTAAAATGAGGGGGCGTTGTACTAGAAGACCTCTAAGGTCCTTTCCAGCTTTGAATCTGTGATCTTAATTGTTTCATTTAACTCCTTGTGATAAGTTTAAACTGTGTATGTTTCTCCTATGCAAGAATGAAAAGGTTTAAACAAGAATTATTAACCCAATTTGTCATTGAAACTGAAATGATTTTCCTAATGAACTTCAATCCATTTCCACCTTGCTTTTTGCTATTTCATTTCTGTTCCTTGCACTTTACCCTTCTCTGCCACTTTTTCTCTTTCTCCTGGAACACCCCTTGATACGCATAAACCCCTAGAATACTTACTCTTTCAGATGCATTTTTTAATTTTCTTAACATGCATGGCAATATTTGGTACTTTCAGTTATGGCATGTGACTTCTTAATCTGGAATATAATTTAATTATTTAATGCTCATGATATACTAAGTACTATGAAGAAAGTATAATTGTTATATGTTTCGCTTTTTATAAAGGTTTTTATAACTTCAAATTCCAGGCTCATTCCAAGAGAATTTTGTTTCTCTTCATAGACATTTCCTCTTTCAAGGCTTATGCCATGTATTTATCTTCCATTCCATCCTAGGTTGCTATCATAAGAATCATGTATCAGGTCCATTTTCCTTCTGTCACTCAAATTGATCATTTGACTTTTTTTCCCTTTCTGTAACATAAGAAACTCCAATTGTTACCCTACCTAATTCCTTTCCCTCTTCTTCCTCTGACTGCCTTATTTGACAGTCATTTTCATTTCCCTTTCTCTGCTCAGCGCTCTGGATGTCACAAGCTTGCTTTCTCTGTGGACTATCTCGTTTCTCCACCTGAATTGCTGCTTACCCACCTCTTCTTCACTGTTCCATGTCCCATGTACCTTGCTGTGTTCAAGGTCCTGTTAAAAAATTCTTGCAGGAAGACTTCGCTTCCTAAACTAATCTGATTTTGTATCTTCTCTTCATTTAAATACCTAATTTATGATTTAACATAGTAACTTGCCATCATTTTTGCATGTGTTTTGTTTTCCTATCTAGATTGTAAACTCCTGAAAGTCCGGAATAGTGTGACATCAGATCACCTTATATTTTGATCTCTCTTTCCTCTGGTCTTTTTAAAAGTCTTTTTAAAAAAATCATTATTACTTCCATGATAACATTCTTTGTCTCTATATCAAATCATTATTATTCTCACCTTAAGAGTTTTAACTACTAGGGTGACCCTGGGCAAGTTACTTAACTTTACTCGCCTTCAGTTTCCTCCCTTATAAAATGAAGGAGTTTGACTGGATTAGGGGTTCTCAACCTTTTTTGTGTTGTGGACCCGCTTGGTGATCTGGTGAATCCTATGGACCATCTCAGAGTAATGTTTTTAAATGCATGTAGTAACAAACATAGGATTATAAAGGAAACCAATTGTGTTGAAATACATGTTAAAATATTATAAAAGGAGTCCAGTTACCTCAGGCTAAGTAAGTACCCCTCACCTAGACGATCTCAAAACATTAAACTAGACATTATTTTGGGACAAAGGGATCAGAAATATGACAGAAGATACAGGCCACTTCATGTCTTGTAATCTAAAATAGGTGCTATAAACAAATTGGGTCTGGGACTGAAACTATAATTTCATTGGTCTAGGGAACTTCAGGATGAGGAAATTCCATCTACCAATGTGGTTTGGCACTTCTTCAGCTTAGAGTCTTAGAGAGTTATCTAGACTATAAAGATAGATAGTGATGATAAATAAGCATAGTATTTTATATTTATCCAGAGATCACTTATTCTGTAATTTGAATTATCCAAGAGACAGTGGAGAAATCTAGGGATAAGTTAAAAAAGTTCTGAGCAGCCTAAATAGTAGACACACCGTTATGATAAAATAAAACTTATACTTTATAAGAGAACTTTTAAAACTCAGTCTATTTAATTTTGACTTTACAAAGAATTCTGATAAGCTGGCTTTTCTAGCTTCCTAGTTCATATCAGATTAGAAGTAGCAAATTAAAAGGGAAATTGAGGTGTTTGGGAGAAG